TTTTAGACAGAAAAGGAGGGGATCCTTTTGTTCTGAATAGTGTTGGCACCAGAAAGAGGCTTGTAAAAGTAGCTATTGATTGAAAAATATAACCACACTATGTGAATGAGACACAGATTAAAGTCGCACTATAATCTGAACAAAAACTAAATGTTCAACAGAAAGGATTAAGGTAAATCTGCTGCTCAACTATGGACAAGTCAAAAATGACTATGATTTACTCTATGCAACTATGTGTAACAATGCAGGCTTTTAGTAGTAATTAGGTTGACAAGGCAGTAGGGGGCAGTAGCATGGTATAAAAGTCACTGCACGCTGTAGGTCTCCCGTTTCCCGCACTTCTTGGTTCTGCCGGTGTTGTTGCCCATTGTTGTCCCTGTCATTCTTTGACTCCCTGGTAACTGTCATGTGCAAATAATTCTGTCATTATGCAGGTTCTATGCAAGTTTCATTGTTTATGTAGTCTGCGGTGTGGCTGTGCCCCGCGATGAAGCACCAGGCTTGCGGGTGTACACAGTCTGGCTGCCTCCCTGAATGGTGTGTTGACCAGCCGTCATGGCCCCTCACCGAGCACCGTTGTGGATAATCTGGATGTAGCTGGGGAAGGCAGGTTCCGAGCATAGTGGTGCACGGCTGCCTGACTATCTTTTACAATGAAGTAGCATTAACTAACTGACATTCTACCTGTATGAAAACGTGAAGTTGAAACGTGCTTTTATTTATCCAAGCAAAGAAAAGAGAACTGAGCTAGGTTTTGTCATTACCATAATCTGTGTTCCTTTAAATAAAATAAACAAAAAAAGGAAACTCAAACAGGAATCTTCAGAAATCTGGAGCTAAATGACACAGGCAGCAATGGCTGAGCAACCAAAGAGCCGATCGGTTCCAACTGCTAAAGCATTGTTCAGGAACAGAAGACACTTGATTGGTTATTAGTTAAAGCTTATATCTGGAGTTTACTTTCAATGTAAGTAAAATAAACAAAAGAAAAACTTTGTCCAGGAGCCTTCTACATATGGTCTATGAGTATAGAGAGAGAGAGACCAAAGAGAGTGTGAGAACAGAGAGAGGCTGTTAGATCAGAGGGGGACCAGAGAGAGACCCATGAGATCAGAGAGTCAAAAGAGAGCACAATAAGAGATCTGAGTGGCTCATGAGAGAGACCAGATATAAAACATGAGGCTGACAGCAAGCAGAACCAGCAGAGAAAGCACCGTCCGAGGAGCCGTCTGAACCAGGGACAAGTCATCGGCTCCACAGACTAAAAACGGATACATATCATTCATAAGCACAACCAGCAGTAGTGTGCGGTGTGGATCCTTCTGCCAGGTGGGACTGACCTGTCCTCGGGTCGATGGAGAAGTGTGGCGTGCCCTGGAGGAGGCTGTACACAACCGCAGCACTGTTTCCGTACGTTGGGTCGTCTGCGTCTGAGGCCTCCACCTGCAGCACCGATGTACCTAGAGGAGAAAGAGAGCGTTACAGGTCATATATGCAACTGTACATTCTGGTGCTAGATATGGGAAGGTCAGTGTGCTTCATAGAAAGATTCATAGATAGATTCTGTATTGATCCTTGTAACTATTGTAAAACATAAAACATCAACTGTTTCATAGTGATTTAGGTCACTGCCATTTCAAAAGTAAACAAATGAACATCACAGAACAATATTTTGCCCCATGAACATAATAACAAGGCCATTTATATTGGAGTGAAATGTTTCAGGAAGTGAAAGTATGTCCCAACGTGAGAAGGGAAAGGAGAGAGAGGCTGGGACAGAGGAGGAGGAGGTCTGTTAGATGAGTGTGAAAGACCGATCTGATCTATAGAACCAACATCTGATTTTAAAGGGACAAGGGAAGCTGACGATGTCTTCTCACTTTAAGAGATGAGAGAGGTCTGTCATCATAGGTTCATCTCACCTATGAGACATGAGAAAAAGATCATCCAGAAATTGTCTGATTTTCTAATGAATTTATTTTCAAATAATGGTTGAAAAGAAGTATTACACTTCAGAGTCTACGGCATAGACTAGAGGGATCCAAGCCGATCCAGACAGGGCCGCTGTGGCTGCAGGCTTTATATCACACCCAGGAGGAGCAGAGCAGACTCAGGTCTGGGTTCAATAACAAAAGTCTATCTCGATACTTTATTATATATCGGTGTTGTAGATGTACAGAAAACGTACAGAGAACGCTTTCTACTCAAGGGTTTCACACACAGTTGGTGGTATTTTGGCCCATTCCTCAATACAAATCTCTTTTAGAGCTGTCGCTGGGCAACACAGACTTTTCTTTCCAATTCTAACTTTAATGAAGCACTTCAAGGTCCTGGAGTGGCCTCGCCCATCTCCAGATCTCAAACTCATAGAAAGCCCAAAAGATCACTGCTCTAAAAGAGATCTTTATGGACGAATGGGCCAAAATATCAGCACCAAAACCTAGCGAAGACTTACATAAAACTTTTGACCTCTGTCATTGCCAGCAAAGGGTTTATAACACAGTATTTAGATGTACTTTTGTTCTTAATTTTCTGGATTCTCATTTTGTCTCTCTTGTCTTATGATGAAAATTACAGCCCTATTTAAGTGGGAAGACTTACTACTACTTTTTTGCCCCACTGTGTTTGCTCCCATGGTCATGTCCTGAGCCATCATAAAATGTATGTGTGCTGCTTAAACAATTACAATCGCTCACAAGCGCTCTGTCCAAAGTGCAACTGTACACACCGGTGTCGGACATCTCAGGCACGGAGGCAGTGTAGGGTCCGTGGGGGAACGTGGGTGGGTTGTCGTTGACGTCCTGGACCTTGATGATGAACTCAGACTGTGCCTCCACGGAACGGTTACTGTGTCTGTCCACGGCCCGAGCGTGTAGCACGTATTGGGCTTTAGTCTCGCGGTCCAGGCTGTGCGGAGCATGGATGTCCCCCGTGTCCTCGTCAATAGTGAAGAGCGAGCCGGCTCCCTCTCCCGACAGGATGTAGCGCACCGAGCCATCGCCCTTGTCCGAATTGGAGTGGAGCTGGAGGAAAGAAAAGGAAACTGAATAATACATGGGCAAAACTATGTTTCAGGGTGAGGTTTCTTTAGTTTTACCTGTAGGTGCATTTGACAGTTTGAGCGAGTTGGTCTCATCCCTATGTATTATTTAATCTGGATAGCGGATGGCTAGCTTAACACAAAGTTTAAGCACAGTCAAATTTACATATTTTACGCTTGGATTTTTAATTTTAAATTAATCAGTTCCTCTCCTCTCCCCTCTCCTGTCTTCTCTCCTCTTTTCTTCTCTCCTCTCCTGTCCTCTTTCTTCTCCTCCCTCTCCACCCTTCTGTCCTCTCGGCTGACCTCTCTTCTGTCCTCTCGCTTCTCCTCTCTTGTCTTTTCTCTCCTTTCACTGGAGTCTAATTTAGTGCTACAGTGAAATAACTGTTGCCGTCAGTCTCCGACACAGATCCATTTGGAGATAGGGCCGATAGCAGCGGCCTCAACCTGCCAACCCACCCAGATAATGAGCCTCTGTGCCGAGCTGAGGGAAGACGTTTAGGGTTAGAGAGCCAAGACAAAGAGATGATCATGAGGGCGAGACTCCATGTTTGAGGGATGTGGCAAAACTGTGTTCAGAAAGTAAAACATGGACAACCCTAAACTACCTGCTCATAAAGAAAAAAACAGAACTCACTCACTTTCTCTGACTCCTATTGCCATACATGTAAAAATAAACTCCTCCAGCTCAGTAACAGATTGTGTCACATACATATTGGGCTTAACAAATCTCTCTCTGTGATCCTGGTGTTTTTCTTGTGATACTGTCTTTGTTAATCCAGATATGAGATACCTTCATTCACAATGGAAACTCCAGCTTGCCTTAGCAACCATAACATGGTTGCAACATTGTCTTCCCTTCCCTGCATGAAAGAAATGTCCATTAAAAAAAAAACCCTTCTTCCATATTCGGCAAACGCAATGGTGACATCACACTTGATCAGTCCACTCCTGGTATACATCATGGTAGCTTCCAATGCTTGAAAGCAAATCCAGACCTTAGTACGAAAATAAATTAGTATGATGGTCTGGTAAGACCAGGCTAAGTCAGAGGGAGGACCAGGTTGCACCAAAGTGCATCCTGGCTCAGCCCAAATATCGTCTGTAGGGCCTTTTCGGTCTTCCTATTCCTGTGCGCCTTCTGCTCTGAAACTGTTGAACACTTTCTGGGTGTTTGTAGACTCAAATTAACTTTTGATGTTTTTATTCTGCTGCGACATGACTGAACTGACTGACTCAGTGTGTGATTGTAGAGTCTGTAGGTAAACTGCTCCGTAATTGTTCTGAAACTTAAACTTAAAATTACAAAATAAAATACATTTTGCCAAGAGGGACTAAAGAAGGACCTGGTACCGGGAGTCTATTGAGCATGCATCTGGAGCACTTGGAGGAAACCTACGCAGACACAGAGAGATCTGGAGGTGGACTTGATCCCAGGACTTTCTTGCTGTGAAAAGCATCAGGTTCTCAATAAAGATCAAGCTTCTACAAAGCGAAGCATCTTTTCTTTCTGTAGAAATGTAAAGAATTAACCACAAACTCCTGCTTCACTTTTATTGTTGAATGTTGGTTCTGTGATTGTTTGGTTCAGCAACATCACACCAGTGAGAGAGACCAAAGATAGACCAAAGAGAGACGAGAGGGGGACCTGAGAGAGGTGCTCCGCTCTTAAAGAGGTGCGCTGCCTGTTCTGTCTTAAATCAAGCCCTTCAAATAACTTATTTGGACTATCTAAAATATATAACAGTTGCAATTTCAGAGAACTTCAAAGCTGTTAATTCGCCAACACAGATTAGAAAATCAAACCGTTAAAACACAAGAAACACAATGATAAATAACACATAGGGCTATTATCGGTTGAAAAGGGGCTGATGACCAATGTCCATATAGAACCTTTATAGATCCGATTTATGTATTTACTTGCTGATGTGCCTTATGCACACTTGGGGACATTTGCACATGTATTCCAATGTGGTTTTAATGCAAATGGCAAATTAGCTGTATCTGCTCTGAAAATGTAGAAATGTTGTGGACTTGTAGCCTAATATATTGGCATGATAGCCTTTCAGTGTGCCATAGCATAGATTTTCTTTTTGCTAGCAGCAGCAGCACTTCCACAGGGTTGTGGGTTAACAAGCTCAGATGTGTGTAAGTTATAATGAGAGAGCTGTTGGGGCTAAAGGCCAAGGTGGACCGGCCTCAGGACTTGTGGTCATTAATCTAACAGCACACTCCTCTCACAATGAAACACATCAGGAGCATCAAACACTACGACACCATACTCTCTGAATGTCCTGGGGATTTGTGATATACTCATGTTTGCCCCCCAGCGCAGCTCTATCTTGAACCGACTTTAAATATTGTATTGAATAAGTCTCTGTATCAAGGCGCTCAGCCCTAATCTTTGATTATCAAGAACTCAAAAAATGCTAACAATGTTCAAAAGTCAATTTACTACTACTTACTGAAATGTCCCCACTGTGGCAAAAATAGAGTATTTCTTAATGTGAAACTAACATAGGACAGGCTCAGTACAGCAGTGAGATCCTGATCATGACGTTTATAAAACAGTAAAAAGATCTTCCAGACAAAACATTTGACAAAACAATGTTTAAGAAAACGTGGAACATTTTAGATCAAGACCACTTGATCTTGATCCTTTTTCCCCCCAAATAAAACTATTGCTGCTTTCAGAAACCACACAAATCCCACAGACATCAACCCACAAACCTCCCTTTTTCATGTTATCGGACAGATTTGCGTCACCGCAAGGAACGTAACATCGAAACCTAATCCTCTGGTTCGGCATGAATAATTCAGCACAGTGAGAAGCGAGACGTGGGATAAAAATACAGCTGTGTCTGAAACGACTGCACTGACGTTTTGAGGCTAAGCAGTGTGTGCCGGAAGAACGAAGTGCCAAAGTGGGCAGAACTGTGTGCATGGGCGTGTCCTTCACAGTGGGCATGCCCTTCATAGTTCAATTCAATTCATTCTTGTTTCGCCGTAAATCACAATAGTTTTCTCTGAGAACTTAAAAGTACATAGGATAATTTTCTCAAATTTTAGGAAAGAATCGCTCCCTCACCAGAATGATTGACAATTGGGAAGACCAATAGTCTTGATGATCCACCCGGAAGTAGAAAACCCCCCCAAAAACCGTTGAATTCGCCAACACAGATCAGAAGCAGTTCAAACCATAGACTGTAAATATTAACGGACGTAGTCACGCCTATCTCCGCTGTTCAAACTAATGTGCTATCACTTTCGCCTTATATGGGGTGAAAGGGAGCATGTCCTTCACAGTGGGTATGTCGTGAGTGTTGTGGAGAGCTGAGATGAACCAATGGTCTGTAGGTCAGGTATTGCTTGTCTTGTTTGTTTCTGATTTCTTTAGATAGATAGCTATCAACAGTTTTGATAGTTTATTGATCCTTGTAGGAGACATTCAGGTGTCCAGCACACATACATTCATATAAAGAAACACATACATAATTCTGGATCAATGAACAAAAACAAACTACAGTGGCCTTCGTACTAAAAGGTAATACCCCTGCTATAGGCAAACTGATCGAGGAATTCCGTAAACGGCCTCAGTAACAGTGAATTCTCTCACTTTTCTGAGGTAGAACATGCAAACTGCTCTGCACTGAGACAGAGGGAGAGGACTGCAGCCACCGGGGCTCCTGGGAAATCCCTTTTCAGAAGCTCATAAATCAGAGAGAAGGCTCAGAGAGTGTGTGTAATCTGTTTTGGACCTTTGATTCCTCAGCTACAGGGGTATGTTTTCACCTGGGTGTGTTTGGTGGTCTTTTTCTTTATTTGTTTTTCATCTCAAAAATTGTATTTTTAGGCCAACATTTTAAAGCAAGTCGACTTTTTTGAGCTTTTAACCCTGTTACATTGCTGTTCCCTCAACAAAACAGATGGGGTTGTGTTTAGATCCATCAAAGCTTAAATGAGGAAATTCTATCACTTAAATGTTAGCCCGCCCCTTTTGTCTAAAAGCTTGTGTCATTGTACCACTCAGAGAGGTTTTTTACTCTGAGCATAATTTCTCTATTACATTTACATTATTTGCAATCGCATGTTTGTGGGATTTTGCAGTTTATTTGACTATTAGGATCCGAGATGGTCAGATCTGTGGCCTCATCTCATGTTTTAGAGAATTATTCAGATTCAGATTCAGTTCAGATTCAGTTTATTTGCCATTTGCAGTAAAAAAAACCACATTGGAATACATTAGCAAAAAGTCTCCAGTGTGCACAGGCAAATACAGACATAAAACAACATTAAAAGACAGAAATAAAACAAATTGAAGTATACAAATTATATACTGTAAGTGGAAAATATATGGAGATGAGAGTATGAAGGGTAAATAATTCTTTGCTAATCTTGTTCTTTTTCAATTCTAAACACCATCTGTGAAGATTGTAATTACACCAATTGCCAAAACACACTCATGGACAATATTCTCAGAGCAAAGAAAGGTTGCTCACCCATAATCTGAGGTTTCTAACTTTTTTCCTACTGTTAAAAAAAAAAAGTGGTTTCTTGCAGATGCAGGAGGGTCTAAGGGCCGTGATGATCCAGGATATTTCTGGACAGCGGTTATCTTGCAAGAGAGACCAGAGAAAGAGACCAGAGAGAGAGAGAGACCAGAGAGAGAACAGGGTAAAAGGCCAGAGAGAAAATACCAGAGAGAGAGAACAGAGAGATAGAACAGAGAGAGAGACCAGAGAGGGAGAAAAGAGAGAGAAACCATAGAGGGCCCAACCTTTTCTGACCAAAGGTCTACTTTTTAATTAGCAAACCTTCAAAGGTCTATGAGGCCAGTGTCAACACAGTTACAGCCGTTACAAACAACACTTCTTCACACAACCATTAGGCCCTGTCCACACGAAGTCAAGCTCAGGCCTAAACGCAAAAATACTTTATCAATCCAGTGTATCGTCCATACGAGGCCGGCGTTTTGGGGGGGTGTAAACGAACATTTTTGAAACCAGGTCCCAGAGTGGAAAGATTTCAAAACTCCGTATATGCCGCTCCGTGGTTACTGCCTCTCC